GCAAGCAATGGATATGGACGAGATTTTCATAGCTTAGTTAGGAGTCATAGTTTGGTTAGGAATCCAAATAAAAGGCATGTGCCTATTAGTTTCCTATTTGTCTTTTAATTGTTAGGAAAGTCCATATTCCCTAGATATCAAGTTGCCTTAGGAATTATTTACTTGCATAGATTAGGAGTTCTATTTAGACTAGGATTAGATCTATTTGGTATCTATAAATACCCACCTATGTACCATTCGAAATTATGATGGTTGAGTGAATAGAAAAGAGTAGAACATTGTGTTCAAAGTTCTCGTGTGTTTTCTCCTGTGAGTTTACATAGAGTTCGTGAATGGAATAGGACCAACATCCGAGTTTCTTCACAGTGATAGAAATAGGACCAACATCTGAGTTTCGTCACACCTATTGCGAAGTACGAAGGCGTCGGCGCGCGTATTAGCAACTTATTGCGAAGGGACCAAGGCGTCGGCGCGGGTTTCGAGCAAGTCGAGCTAGACGTAACACACGATCCTTCATCAGCGCGTGCCTGCGCGTGCCCGCCCTATTCGCGGCCCGCCAGTGCTCGCGCCTGCCCGCGCGTGGCCCTGCACGCCCCAGCGCGCCAGTGCGCTGCCAGCGCGCCCATGTGCGCGGGCTGCACCCGTTGGGCACCCAACTCGCGCGCCTTCCATTTCTTCGAGCCACCTGGTGCTTTAGCCATCCCCACCATGTTTCACTCCCTCGATAAGCATCCCGAAACCTCCGATGATACGTCCGTTTGAGGCGTGGCCTGTCCGTGCACGTCTACGCCAATGCGCGTGTTTGCGCCCTTCCTTGCACCTTGCATCTCGCACTTCGCATGTGCTCGACCCATAGTGCGATGCTCGTGTTGGACCTACTTGCACATTGATCCGCTGTACCTTTGATCTTCTCGCATTCGGCCATGCTAACACCGACCTCCTAAGCCATGGCGCACGTCGGCACCCTCGTATACGGGCTTGTGTACGTCTCCTAGGCCATGCAAGCCTTGTTTCGGCCCTTTTCCCGGCCTTCTCGGGTCGTCTCGGCCATCGGCCCTCGGCGTCCTCGGACCTCGAAACCCACATTCGCATCACGCTGCTGTCGTGCGGTCGCGGGCACTGATGCCTCGCGCACGCTGGCGCGGGCACGGACTGGCACTTGGCCGGGCACTGGCGCGCTATGTGCATGGACAGTGACCAAGGCCGGCCCTTGCCAGACCTCCGGCAACATTTTTCGGTGACATGCAACTCATCTCAACTTAGTATGATCAAATAGACACAAATATCACATAAAACACTAGTGGACCCCGGGTCCACATGCATGATACTCGGGAGGGCCTAAATGGCACGTACGAGCAACTTAACCTCCGAACCAACATTCTTAACTTATAAAACTACCCAGGGCCGAGTGTTCCACATCAAAAATGATGACTATAAGGGCTAATGCATGTGTCATATCTTGCATGTACAATACTAAGGCTCAAGAGCCCAAAAACGAACATTTTCATGAACAATATGGCCAAGGCAATGAACTCTAATCATGCTCAAACTTTAACACCATCAATGACATAATATTTAAGGGTGATTTAACTAACAAATTCGACTTAGGCATGCTTGCTACTAAAATTTTATTTTTAAGGCCATTAACTTAATAAATTCGGAACTCACATATAAACACATGCATGGCTCGGTTTTTCTTCATGAAAAATCTTAAAATATCATAAAATATTTTTGGGAAGAAGTTGCCTAGGACTGACCTTCACCAAAATGCAAAAACGAAAGCTAGGGCTTGCTAGTGCCTTGCTCACGGCCTTAGGGCTTATGGCTATGCTCGGAGTGAAAATGGTCGAGCCAATGAACTCCAAAAGACTTATAAAATTCTAAGAAACACTTAGAAAATGATAAGCCCTGGAAGAAATCGCTTGGAACTCGAGATAGCTGGTCCTCCTCCTTCCCTGGGCTCTCTCGCGCGCGTGTGGTGGCAAGGTGGTGCTCTCGGCCTTCTCCCTCAAAATTCTGAATATGCTTAAGTGTTTGGAGTGTCAAGAGCTCATAATGTCTGAAGAATGACCATTATATAGGTTGAGGGGCGGAGGTTCCCATGGCTGGTCAAAGAGGGGACAATATAAGTGGGAAAATGCATTCCATGTCATGGGAAAATGGGGCCAAGGTCTTGGGCATGCATTGACCTGACTTGGCACGATTTTTGGTGGCCAAATGAGTGGAGAATCTCAGCATTATGGGCAGAGACAAGGTCTGGACAGACTGGTGGCACATGGGGGACAAGAATTCCACTACTACATTAAAATAATATTATGCCCATCACTCCACTTTGCATGCTAATTGAGCTGACTTTCCTTAATCTTTGTTAGGGCCATTTTAGCTTAAATTAAACCTTATTAAGTGTATAATAATCTCAGCCTTTGGGCCCTGGAAGAATTGGGTCGGAACTCCAAGAAATGGGCTCAAGAAAATGGACTGACGCTGTCTCGCGCTGGGCCTGGGCGCTGCTGCTGGGCGCGGCCTGCTGGGCTGGTGCGAGGCCTGCGCGGGGTCAGCATGGGCTGAGCGCGGGAACACCTTGGGTCGGGTATAATGGGCTGGAAATGGCTCTCCCACACTTAGAAAAATATAGAGAACTTATGGCTAGGCCTTGGGCTCGGTCATGGGGGGTCTTGGGCGCGAGGGTGGGCGCGGTCACGGGGCTCGGCACGCACGGCTCGGGTGAGCACTAGGGCTTAATATAAAATGTCCAAGGCTCGACTTTGGTATTCTAAAACACTTAGAAAAATATTCTAAGTATTAAAATACCACTCTCGGCTATGACTAGGGAAAATATACTCGGAACGAAAACTAGGGTTCGGATCCGGTAAATTCTCGAAATGACTAGATATCACTTATCAGTCCAAATTAGTGGATTGATCTTGACTTAAACTTGACATAGAAAAATTCCAAAGAATGATCAATCAAACTTAGGAATAATTTAGCATTTAGCATATAAAATATAACTCAAAATTTCTGAAAATTACGAATTTCACTTATAGTCGAGCAGTGAAACCGTTCTTAATATTATTACTGATTTGGGGCGTTACAGGTGGTATATAATTTTTTGGAATTGAACCCAAAGCATTGTGAATGCTCTAATAGATGAGTCCGAGGGTGAGATCAGTTGGTGTTTAGTTTGTTTTTGTGGTCATTTTATGTGTTGTGGAGTGGTTAATTTGTGCTCGTAGTGCGTAGCCCGTGTGATGCACGGGTAAACAATATTAAATAATAATGATAAATTAAAATATGAATAAATAATATTAAATAATACTTATAAATAAAAAATATGGGTTAACATGTCATTTAATTTACTTATATCACTTTATTGTAAATAATATGAAATTATCTTGTATAAAAGAACATAAAAAATATACATTTAAAATATTAAAAACACCTAAAATATTATATAACATATCTAAAAGTATCTAAAATATTTTATATTATTCTGAAAAACAACTAAAATATTATATAACATATATAGCGGCATCTAAATTATTCTCTATTATTATTGAAAAATGTGAAATTGCCTATAATGTTTCTTAACTTTTTTTTTTTGTAAAGAAAATATGTCTAAAAACACTTAAATTTAACACACACATATATATATATATATATATATATCTCTGAATTTTAATAGAGAATATAGATATAAAATAAATATATGCGAAGTTCGTATAAAATTATGTTATCAGTTCAAAATATTTTGAAATTTTGTTTTTTTTTTACGTTTAATAAATATTTAGATACCAGAATTATCATAAACAAGGTTGTGAATATAAATATTTTCAAAATAAATGCATGTCGATTTATGCATAATAAATATCTGGATACCAGAATTATCATAAAAAAAATAAGTGGGTACAAAATATTTGGAAAGTTAGTATGTATAATAAATATTTGGATACTAGAATTATCATGAAAAAAGAACTGAGTACAAAAACTTTTTCTCATTCGAACTATAACGATTTTCGCGCATCACCTTATAAACATTTTTTTTTTACAAACCACCACTTGAACTATATAAGTTTTTCAACTTGTTCCCTAAACCGGATATAAAAGTGGTTTTGACTAAAACAAAAGCTGATTTTTCAGGGCATTTCAATATTTTTATATATTTTTTAAAAAATAGAAAATAATGAAGAAAGAAAACAACAACGTAGGTGGCGATGGGCTCCTACGATGCTGTCGGCGATCACATATGTGGTGGCTGGCTCTTGGAGGAGGTTAGAGCGGAGCAGAAAGGAGACGTTGTTGAGGGAGTCGCCGCGCGAGCGCTCTCCGACAGCCTTGAAGATCTCGATGCTGAGGGCGACGAGGACGTGGCGCGGGACATGGGGGAGGAGGAAAGTTGTCGCCGCCACCTGGCTGCTGGAGGTGACGACCCTCGATCCCATCTTCATCGGCCCCATTTTTCGTCCCGATTCGAAAAAGCCGAGCCTTTTTCTCACGGCTGGCGGAGAAATTCGATTGCGAGATCAGCATGCAGCCTGGCGAAGGCAGGGTAGCGGGCTTTCCAACGAAAGGCGGCGTTGGGGGTCGGGCGATTTTCTGGCAAGGTGCGTGACGGAGAGGGCTGGAGAAGGGCATGTTCACGAGGCTGCGAGAAGTCGGGTTCTTGGCGGCGGAGCGGTTCAGGGTGCCGACGCTGGTGGCGGCAGTCATGTGCTTGTGCAATGCAGATCGAGTAGTCATGTCGGTTGTCGTCCTCCTCCTCACCGCAAAATACAGGTGGTCGAGCTCGTTCTTCTCATTGTCTAGGTAAGAAAGCAAAAAGGATAATTTTACATTTATGCCTTTTCATTTTATAGCTCTTTAAAAATAGTCGACATTTAACTTGGCATGTTGAATATTGAAATTCAATAATACTATAATTCAATTCGTATATGAAAAAGCTATTTATTTTTATTTTTTATTTTGTCACCTCTGGGAGGCGGCGGCGGAAGCCGCCAGCGGCTCCGATGGCGTAGCCGAGCACATGCCCGACGACCATGAAGAAGGCGAAGACAATTCCCAAGCGTGGTTGAATGCTCCCAAGCGTGGTTGAATGCTCCCGAGCGTACACCTCCTTCATTTATTTATTATTATTATTTTAATTTTTTGAAACCAACTATTCATTTTTTTATTTTACTAATTTTGTAAAAAATATATGAAATTACTGAAATGCCTTTAAAAATCAATTTTTTCTAGTCAAAATCATTTTTATATCCAGTTTATGGGACAAACTAGTGTGTACCACGTGCGATGCACGGAAACAATATTAAATCTACAATATTATAAATAGACCTCGAGTTTGAGTTACTAAGTGGAAATTACAATTGATTCTATTTAAAAAGAGGCAGAAAAAAAATAATTATAAATTAAAGAGGAGGATAAACAATACTTAATAATTATAAATTAAAGATTCGGGGTCAAACAATGTAAAATTATTTTGTATAAGAGAAAATAAAATTTGCATTATTTTGTATAAGAGAATATAAAATTTGGACCTTTAATATTAAAACACCTAAAATGTTATATTAGTATATGTAAAAGTATTCAAAATTTTCTATATTATTTTTGCAAGATGTGAAGTCACCTACAACTTTTCTAAACAATTTTAGAAGGAAAATATATCTAAAAACATTTTAATTTAACATTGTGTAAAAAAAAAAATTTCTAGACTATTTTGTAGAGAAAACATGTCTACAAATATTTAAATTTAACATCATTTATGTATATGTGTGTATATATATATATATATGTATATATAGACGAATATGTAAAAAAAATGTCTAAACAATGTGTTTAAAATATCTAAAATATTATAAGACTAATTTAATAAAGACATTCAGATGATACCGAATTTATGGTGTTACTTCTATCTAACAAAATTTGATTACACACAATTTTAAAATTATTATTATACATTTTACGTTGTTTTCAATGATGTATTGTTAGTTTATAATATTTGTAAAAATATTAGTATTAGACCGATGAAAATTAGCAGCGCTCGATATGGGTTCGTATTTTTTTTTAAATAAGGGATGAGATTTTGAGTACCATCAAAACACGTAAAAAAAATACAAATATTTATTGTCACCGGCGGTTTTGAGTACAAAAAATAGGAAAAAGAAAAATAAATATATACTGTCACCGGCGGGCGATTTTGAATACCAAACAAACAGGAAAAAAAAAACAGTCACCGGCGATTTTTTGAGTACTAAAAAAAGAGGAAAAAGAAAAACAGATATATACACTGCCAATTTTTTTTTACCAACAATCTATATATATATATAAAGGTTGTTGTTAAAATACCTTTTTAGAAAGTTTTGACCAAAAAAAAAACTTTGACAATCGAAATATAGAAACCATATTTACTGCATTTATAATACACGAAATTTTAGAAAAGTCATACTTCAATTCAAAAATTTGTTTTAGAGATATTATTGGGATTGTGGATAAGTCACAATTGGATCCATAATTATCATTACATGATTAATTCAAAAATTAATTGATTAGAGATATTATAGGGATATGTGGATAAGTCACAATTGGATCCATGATTATTATTGGAGATATTATTGGGATTGTGGATAAGTCACAATTGGATCCATAATTATCATTACATGATTAATTCAAAAATTAATTGATTAGAGATATTATAGGGATATGTGGATAAGTCACAATTGGATCCATAATTATTATTACATAATTATGCGAATCTTTAGTTCAAAAACGGTTGTTTGGTATAAAATCATATGCACTACCACTACTCAACAATTCACGTCATTCACAGTTTAGAAAAAAAAAAAAAAAAAGTTCACGTCATTCACAGTTCACAAAAAAAAAAAATAAAAAAAATAAAACCGAGATAAATTTTACAGAGGAAAAAAAAAGATAAATTTTAGAACACATTGATAATAAATGCCGTCAGTCTGGGATACACTCGATTCCGTGAGTAGGAGAAACAAGCCTTTTTTGCACTTGAAAGCAGTCCTAATAGTTGAAACGCATCACCAACGGGAGAGTTGGAACGCATTCCATATACTGTTTCATGATGAACATGTAAATATTTATATTTGTAATATCAAATTTATGTAATTTTAAAAAATATTTTAATTCATATTTATAAATTTATACTGTAGGGTACATTCATTAAAGGGATTATACGTTCCAAACATATGGGAGCATTTCGAGGTGTACTGAACGAAGGCGAGGTGTATGCGATCAGCAACTATGTCGTTGAATTTAATAATGGGAAGAAGGATATTATAACCAACATATGGAAACTTGTGCTTCATGGAAGAACTCATGTTATCAAATATGGTGGGATTTTTCCTCAAAATGTTGATATTTTCCCTTAACATTAGCAAGGAGCAGGAGATATTTATGATATTTAGAGTTTGATTATTATGAATTTTAATCTCATTCCATGTCGTTGAATTCCGAATTCTATAATAAATTTTAGTGTTATTATATTTGTTATCGTTATAAAATGTCGTTGGATATTTTTTTTTATTAAATGTCGCATGAATGTGAAAATTTGAATATTTTATTTTTGAGTTCTACTGTATATTAGTTTAAAATTGGTAGAATGTCATGATACAAGATATAAATTAATACAAATTTTAACAAATATTTCAATAAGATTATATAAAAAAAAATTACGGAATTAACAATAACTGAATTAAGTACATTTAATAGATTATATTGCGTGATTTTTCAATAATTTATCATAATGAATTATATTCATAAATATGAATATGAATTTTGATTATAATATTTATATTAATTTGTGTTATATATAAATTATTATTATTAAAATTTTTACGTAAAGAGATGGAAAGATTTGTTTGACGTAAAATTTTGACTTTAAATATTATAATATTTGTTTGACGTAAAAAATTTTTTAACATTTTTTTTTTTGTATCACATTGGTATGGACAAAAATTTAATTGAAAGATGTTAATTATGTAACGATGGTATCACACAAAAATCTCCACTTCTTAACTACTTTGCACTTATCTTATCACCATACATGATAAGGTTGAAAATTACAATTTGATGTCAAAATTGTTTTAGGTTTTTATTGACCGAGTATCACTCTTTGAATTCCATTTGAATTCAAAATTAGTGTATTTTTTATTTGAACAAAAAAATTTATGGAATTAACAATAACTAAATCAAGTACATTTAATGGATTATATTGCGTGATATTTCAATAATTTATCATAATGAATTATATTCATAAATATGTATTTGATTATAATATTTATTTTAATTTGTGTTATGTAAATTATTATTATTATCTTGACGTAAAAAGATGGAAAGATTTGTTTGAATTAAAATTTTGACGTACAAAATTTTTGACGTAATTATATTATTTGTTTGATGTAAAAAAATTTTCAAGATTTTTTTTTTTATTACGTTGGTATGGACCGAAATTTAATGGAAAAATTGATGGTGATGGTAATTATGTAATGATGCTATCACACAAAAATTTCCAATTCTTAACTACTTTCCACTTATCTTATCATCATAAAAGTTTCGGTCCATACCAACGTGATAATCATTTGTGTTTGGATTGACTGAAATATATTCCATTTGAATTCAATGTCATTCATTTAAAAAACATAACAAATGCAGAGTACTACGGTGGATAAATCTAGAGTTAACAATCTGATAAATCACGTTTTATTAATCTTATCATGATATTAGAGTTTGAATTTATTGGAACTCTGAAATTAAAATCACGTGCAATGAATCTTATCAAGAGAGATTAACGTGAGTTTAACTAATCTTATCATTTAATGGTTATCTACTTTCATCCCATGGCTATAAAATAAACGTCGAAACCTATATCACGTATCACAAAAATCTCACACTACAATTTCACATACAAACAGAAAAATGGCGAGAGCATGGAGAAACATCAAGCAAGTAACAAGAATCAACAGGCCAATGCTCAAGTTGAGGGTGGTTCGAGTTTTCCAAAGGACTAATCAATACTCATCCTACAAGAACATCCTTGAAATTGTCTTTCATGACATTGAGGTTTAATTCATAATAAAAAATAATGATTATCCATTTTTCTCATCATGTTAATTATAATATCTAATATCTAATATTATTTTTCCTTTTTTTTTTTCAGGGAGGTCGAATTACTGGAATAGTAAAGCAATCAACATCCCAACTTTCATCAATGAATTCAAAGAAGGCGCTGTCTATGCATTTCGAAACTATCAAGTCGAGAGTAATATCGGAATGTATAGATCCACCATTGATAATCCGTGCTTCTCTAATAATATGGGATGAAGCACCAATAATGCACAAGCATTGTTTCGAAGCTGTACAGACATCGCTGCAGGGTAATATGGGAGCAATTGATCCTTTGAACTTAAACAAACCGTTTGGTGGGAAGCCGATTGTTTTTTGTGGAGATTTTCGAAAAATCCTTCCAGTCATTCTAAAGGGTAGTCGTCAGGACATAGTCAATGCTGCCATTAATTCTTCTGACATATGGAGGAGTTGTACTGTGCTTAGGCTTACGAAAAAATGCGCCTTCAGGGACTTGCTAACTCGGATGAATGTGATGAGCTTGCACGGTTTGCAGATTGGATAGCCAACATCGGAGATGGAACTATCAGAGGGTTGAATGATGGATGTGCACCTATAGACATACCCGAGGACATTTTGCTTCAGCCATCTGATGATCCTATTGCTCAGATAGTTGAAAGCACATGTCCAATGTATAAAGAGGCACCCGACGATCCAAGTTATTTGAAGGATAGAGCTATATTAGCGCCTAGGTTGGATGTGGTCGAGTCTATCAATCAGTACATGACATCATTGAATTTGTTGGATGGTCGTGTGTACTTGAGCTCTGAAAGTACGTGCAAATCGAATTCTAATAATGATTTTTTGTCTGATCTCCATACGCCTGAGTTTTTGAATAGTATCAAGTGTTCCGGAATACCGAACCATGAGTTGTATTTGAAGATTGGAACTCCA